ATTTTGAATTGCTGCGGAGACTGCCCACAATTCCAAATCACACTGCAATCTTGGCAAACGCGGTGTGATTTTGCTGTGAATGGGACTGCCTGCAAGTGGATACATGGCACACCTGTACATCCCATGTGGACAAGGACAGCCTTCCCCAGGGGGTGTTCAGGTAGGCATGCCTGTGTGAGACCCTAAAGTCAGAGTGAATGCAAAAGCAACGCAATTCAAAAGCAACCTGAATGAACCTAAAGAGCTAACACAGCAGATGATCATAATAGGGGGATGAGACTCGCGTATGCTCGGAGTAGGATCCGAACCCGTGTGTGTGAGCCTGCCAGCAGGCTGCCACCTGTACTGCGACAATCACCTGCAGTCACACTCATACCAGGGGCATGTATATGTGTGACCACAGGAAATGCCCCCAGATGATTGGCCCAGTACAGGCGACAGCCTCCTGGCGGGCTCAGATCCTAGTCTGAACACAGCCGAGCTCATCAATAATCACAATGAGTGGCTCTTATCACCATTGTGTCATGTCACCTCCTCCTCATCTCATCCTGCTCAGAGCTCTATGGGGGACAGGGCTGTGAATAAGGGGGTACCACCAGTCCTCCTGTACAGGGCCCAGGCAGCTGGGGTGAATCGGATGTGGGCAGGAAGGGTGATCGGGGCAATCACTGGACCGATCCCCTGTATGGCTCTCTCTGCAGCAGCTGAAAGCTGGCTTATTCTCCTCCTTCCCCTTGATAGCTTTCAGCTGCTGCAGAGAGAGAAACATACAGGGGATTGGTTCCAGTAATTTACTAGCCCCTTCCATTCCTGAATGAACACAATGAGTGATCAGTACCAATCACTCACTGTTTTCATTCAAAACAGAAGCATGGCAAACTTATTTTTGTGGGGATGGGGGGCCCTGTTAGGTTGGCTGTATGGGGCCCTGTAGTATGGGGGCCTGTCAGGTTGGCTGTAAGTGGCCCTGTGGTATGGGGGGGCCTGTCAGGTTGGCTGTAAGTGGCCCTGTGGTATGGGGGGCCTGTCAGGGTGGTGGTATGGGGCCTGTGGTATGGGGGGCCTGTCAGGTTGGCCGTAAGTGGCCCTATGGTTTCTAACAACAGCCCTGATGGGGAACATTTACTAAGGCCTCATGCACATTGGACATATTAAACGCTGCTGTTATGGGCGTCTGGCAGTTTTTGCCCCCGCTATGTTAGGCTATGTATCCATGCACACTCAGGCATTTAGACAGAAAAACCCCACCGCCAGCGTGTCCAGGAACAGCAGCAGTTTGGAAAAATAAACCTTTGCTGCGTGTTAACATGCGTTATCGCTAGACACGTTTAGCATTTGCGCTTTAACTCATCATAAATTATTATTCTGACCAATGAAATGAATGCATGCACAAACGCCTGACGCACCTAAACGCTTTCCATGTGTTTACAAGTGCCAATTGTTTCTTTGCTGCTGACAGGAACTTTGTCTAGAAGAAGCAGTCAAATGTCCCAAGGTGTGCATGAGGTCTACAACTACAGCAGCTGTACAGAGCAACCAATCAGCTTCTGTCTTCAGCTTTGAAAATGAAGGCTAGCAGCTGATTGGTTGCCATGCATGTCTGCTGCAGTTTTGACCCATTCCGTCTCCTGTGTACAGATCTCTGATCAGTGAAAAGTAATAGTTCCCTGACCTGGTCCCAGGAACACTCTGCGATCTCCTCCTCCCACTGCACACCGGTCATGTGACCTCCGTAAGGAAAGTGATCAGCTACTTCCTCATGACTCTGCTGCCAGTCCCTATCAGTGAAAGCACTTCGTTGGTATCTGTCCACAAATGACTTCTTATGTCTGCACGTTTATGTATTGACACCAGAGGCAACTGTTTATGTACTGCGAGCCGCTTCCTGTCTGTCAGGACATTCACAGAACGTTCTGGAACATGCAGATCTGCTTCCAGACACCCGGGGCTTGTCTGTGTAATAACTGATTTGTGCAGTAGAGGGCAGCAAATGACCAGAGATGGAACAGCTCACTTCCTGGTGTGTTAGTTCAGTGTTTATCAACCTGTTTTCAGTCAAGGCACCCTTTACAATTATGGACAGTCCACAGGCACCCTTTACAATTATGGACAGTCCACAGGCACCCTTTACAATTATGACAGTCCACAGGCACCCTTTAAAGATAGTCGCAAGGTACCCTTTAAAAATAAAGACAGTCCACAGGTACCCTTTACAATTATGGACAGTCCCGAGGCACCCTTTACAATTATGGACAGTCCCGAGGCACCCTTTACAATTATGGACGGTCCCGAGGCACCCTTTAAAAATAACGACAGTCTTGAGGCACCCCATTCTAAATGTGAAAAACTATTCTAATAGTTTAAATAACGCAGCAACATCCACACATATAGGACCCCCAACATTAGAGGGGATTTATTCTTCTAAAGCAAATACACTTTTGCACACTGGTACTGACTAGTATCCCAGTGTTTCTCTACTCCCTCAGTTTTTCTCCATCACTGAGATAATGTTACCCCAGCACTGATGGAAAGAGACAGGGGAGGATCAAACAAGGATGCTCTGCAGGCAGCTTACATCCTCCTTATCAACCAATATCATTGGTTGTCAGGATGCCGGCGGCTAGAAGGTCGTAATGGTGCACAATGAAAACCTGTGGCTTTGTGTAACAAAAAGGCAGGCTTCATCCACCTGCTGCTTGTTCCACCTGCTGGCTATACAAGTTTTGGACAATTTTTAGACATTTTGCCAAGGCACCCTATGCAGAGCAATACAAAGCAGTGTGCAGGAGCTGACAGGGGAGAGATCTGTATTGTTTACATACAGACCTCTCCCCCGTTAGTGATACTCGGCAATTGCTGGGTGGCAGTGGGGAATCTGGACCCAGTGATCGACAGCTAAAGCCACCATTGGCAGTGCTGGTAGGGCCCCCTACCCTGAAATGCAAAATCACACATATATATATATGCTTTTGTGCAGCTCTGCTGCCCTATAGCAGTATTTATGTTCCTGTGCGTTTGACATGCAGTTCTGTGCAGTGCGATTTCAGCCCCATTCATTTTCAATGGGCTGAAATCGTACCGCACCACCCCAAAAGTAGTGTATGCTCTACTTTTTGAAACACACGGCAACCGGATCACATGATACGTTTGTACCATGCCATCTGGTGCAGGTCAGTGCAGGCAAAGACACTACGTTTGCCACCTGCGTTTGGGTATTGCTAAGTTTGCACTGACACAACCAATTTAATATATATAAAAAGTCTTTAAAATATTCAAATAAAATATGCCAGTTTTCCTGGGAACTTGCATCAATGGTAATAAGTGCTCATGACTTCAGTGATATGAAGAAAAAGGGGTGTGCTTGCACTCACCAGATGTATGTTAATATTGCGCATGTAATGTAAGGGTATTAGTAGTCATCTGGGACCTGATAGGTAAATGGCACTCCAATGGTACTGGATACAACCTGAGGAAGACCTCCGGACCTCTCGGTGGACTCACTTAGCGGATGGGGACTCCTTGCTGTTGATAGTACCCGGTAGTAGATGGACTCAGCAGGAACACCACCTTTAGTAGCTCAAAGTAAAGCCACCAAGACAAAGGGCTAATATAGTGTAGCAATTTTGTATTTGCCAATGATGGTGTACAAATGAGAGTAGCATACTATAATGATATGCTCTAACAACAATCCATAGCCATAAGTAAACATTGGTGGGTAGCAACAGCTACAAACAGGTGGGTAATAGCATAGATATAGCCAGTAAACAGGTAAGGATCAACATGCATGTAAGTCAGGAACCAAAATGGGCGCTGATTTAGCACATGGCTCTCAGCAGCTCTCAGCAGTACTTTTTATTTGAATATTTTAGAGACTTTTTTATATATATTAAATTGATTGCTGATTGTTGTGTCACTACGAAATGATGTCACATTTTACCAATCATTGTCTTCATTAAAGACATCACTCATATGTTCACTTATTAGCGCATAAGATTGTGCATTATATGTCACCTTTGCACTTTATTAAGAGCGCTGCATTTTTTGATATTTGTCAGTAAAAATGCTAAGAGAGGTTGTTAACATTGTCCCCTCCCCCACCCAATGGCAAATCTAGTTTTTTTCCAGGAAGCAGGTACCTTTTTTGACTCCCACTTCCTTGCTACTTTTTATAAAAAAAAAGGAATATATTAAAAGATTATGCAATCCCTTAAATTATCTCACACCAATAACAGCACCACAAGTAGTAACTGATCAGATTGGCTCAATTGATTGCACAAAACCCACAACCAATCACAGGCAATTTGTGTGGACCTTACTAATTTGAATTGTAAAGTAACCCACATATTTTTACTACTTTACAATTTGTGTACTGAGCTCTCTATGAGTAAAAAAGGTCACTGTTCAATGTCTAACCAGCAATCGGCAAATGGATTGGTGGATTACCAATTATAAAATTGCTGAATGGAAATGCTTCCAAATAGAAGAAGAAAAAGGCAGAAGTCTCTGTAGCTATTTATGGAAGCCACCCAACATGAGGGGTTTCATCTTTAAAGCAGAGCCCCATCCCCACTGTAATATATACAGCTGAATTATATATTTGTCTTACCTGCAAAATATTTAAAAATCTAGCCACCTTGTAATTTGCACAGCACAGCCACACTAAATATCCATCACGGGGACACCTCTATTTTCTATTTTATTTTTATAGCTTTCTGTGTCACCTGTTTTTCCTCTCCCTCCTGTAAACTGCCATAACACCAGGATAGCCTGCTGCCAATGGATTGGCAGAATTGTGCAATCCATAGAGGCTCACATATATAAACTTTCATTCTCAGCCTAGGGCTCATGTACACTGCATCTGATAAACTCACGTTTAGGAGCTGTTCAGCGTTTTTTTTTCAGCAGCCCCTGAACTCACCCTAATGTTTTCCTATGTGTCCATGTACACATCTTCGTTTACCGTCATTTACGGGCATTTGAGTTTACAGTCGTTTTTTTGAACGCAGAAAACTTGCATTCAGCAGAGAATTTTATCAGCGTTTCAAAAGCAAAATGCTTGTAAATGCAGCTAAACACAGCAAATCGCGTTTATAAGCGTTTGCAAAATTTTTTAAACTCTTCCAGTTCTCGATGCTGTCCAGAGCCCTTTTTCATCATGAAAAATGCATGCAAAGTGTTTTCAAGGTACTCAGATGGACAAAACACTGAACACAGGATGTTCCTACCAAGCTTGTCACACATTGTAATGACCAATTCACACCTCAGACCTCTCCCACCCTTGGAAACAAAAGATATGCTAATGACCATTCACACCTCAAATTCCTCATGAAGACCTCCTGCAGGTGAGCTTAATGACTCACTCCACCAGACACCTTTCCTCCCCTTGGAAACAAAAGAAATGTTAATGAGCAACTCACACCTAAGCTAATCTCAACACATACTGCTGTCTCTGCTTCTACTCTCTGTGTTTCTCTGAAACAGTCTGAAATAGTTAATAATTTACCACTTTTCAGTGCATTCTGGGCATTTGGGAGGTTCTCCTGTGCTTATCTTTAAAAAACGCTTCTAAGCGCAAACGCACATAAATGCGCATAAACGCGTTATGCAAACGTGGTTAAACAGACATTTTGTAGCCTACGTTTTCCAGCAGTCAGTTTTCATCGTTCAAAAGTGTCCCATGTATATGGGGCCTTAATTCTGCTGCACAATGGCTTTTTTTATTAGCAGCATTTTAAAGAGTATGTACAGTAATTATATACAAGGAGAAATTTCTGCTTACTTCTTCCTCAAGCTGCCACTAGAAAACTGACTTTTGTTGAGACAGTTGGTGCCAACAGGACCATCAACAGAATGAATTTCAGGAGGTACAGCAAGGATCAGACAAAATCCATGTATAGCAAGCTTTATATAGATGTCCATTAGCTCCCCTACGATATCACAATAGGTCCAATTAATCAACACCTCCCTGCCCTACAAGAAATTGATACATGCCCAGTAGGGGTGTTTGACTAAATTTGAAAAGGTGTGGACTTATTTGGATCAACTTGCAGCGGAAAAACATTCAGTGTGTTGGTGGGTCAGTACTCCACCAGCCACATGTGGCAATCAGCAGTCACAGCCCAAATGTTACATTCACCATGTGGACCACCAAACAGCAACAGGCAGGCACATCCCCAATTCAACATTCAAGCCATCACAACTCTCCAACTGAACTTTGGTTCAGTTTCTATTTTTGACTCATCATGGGGATTGGAGGAATCAGAACTTCAAGTTGCTTTAAGGCAGTTTTGGACTGCAGTAATAATTTCAGGAGCAGTTTTAAAGGAGCAAGGAGCCAGTTGGAGTATAGCCCTAGAGAGGAAAAAGTGTGTTTGACCTTGATTATTGATTAAGGTCCAGTCCAGGAGGTGAGCACATATGTTTCACAGGGTGTTATGCTTGTGTTATGCTTGTGAAATGTGGGTGATCCGTCGAAGTCAAGACTGTGATATCTGGAATTCATTGGTTGTTGACCACACATACATATTTATGGACTTTTTTTGTTTCATCATTTGGGACTCTTTTATTTAAGATAAAGTAACTTAATCTTAAACTTAATTTGAGACTCAACTGTTGAAACTACTCCAAGGATGGATCTGCCCACCATGAAGTACTACCAACCCAAGAACAAAGTAGGAGCCACAAGGAAAAGAAGATGTTTCATCTATTATTATTAATAAGACATAACATCCTGAAGTATCAATGTTGTTTTATTGTCGTATAATATAGTCCTTCATGATTTAAAAGAAACAAATAGGCACTACACAATGTCTTTTTCTGTTTGCCAAGTTTTTATAATTCACAGAAGTATTCAGTCGTGCCAAATCCTGTCATAGATTTCATTTTCTTTCATTACACTTTGATCACCTGTAATAAAATAACAACATATTTATTCATTGAGGAAGTATATTTGTACCTGGCAAAATAACGTTCAGCTGAAAGAATAAGTGCATTTTATTACAGCCTAGTCCCTTTGATACATCATGGGAAGTCAAGTAGGTTTCATATATAGCCATTCACCTTTTTCCTTTTCCTAGCTGTCACTTGAGAATTCTGCTGAAATCAACTTTCCTGCCAGTTCAGATTTCCAGGGAATGCCTTCTACAGATGTCTTTAGGTACAGGGCTACCCGTGGTGTTATATATAAGAAAGTATCTCAAGGCCCTCCAATGTTTACTCTTCCGAGAGGCCCTCCAATATATACTATTCCGAGGTCCCAGAGCTCTATGCTCACCACCCTTCAGGCCTGGAAAGTGGTGCTCTCATGTGAAGGCTGTCCACGGTCTGCTGTCTCCCCTAATGCCCTGGTATGAAATAATCCTTCCATAATCTCCCTAAGTCTAGGGCTTGCACTAAGTATAAGATCAAAGTGGTAATCGACATAGTATCCAACCACTCATTATGCCTTTTTAAATATTTAACATCCCACTGCAACGTCCCTCCTTCCTCTCTTTTTCCTCTATAACATGCAGTTGTCCCATGTTTTCAGGAGCCAATTTTCCCCTGGTACACTCCAACGGATACAATCTGATTTAGAAAGTGTACTTCATCATGACTGCTCTGAAAAGCCTGCCATAGCTCTTTATGCATATCTCCTCATGGTATCCTCCTCTGCGTTATCTTCACTTCGTCAATGTTGAATCCATGATGTGTCTGAGTTAGACTCTAAAAACTGGGAAGTTTAGTGGGACTTCCCATTTAAAATCTTGGTCTTTCTTCGGGATCGTTTTATACAGTTTAAAATGGTTCACAGGGTCTATCTTACTCCATACATGCTACATAGCTTCCAACCCTCCCTCTCTTCAAAAGGCTGGTGTGGCGGCCATCATCCTGGTGATTTTATTCATGTATCTTAGTGTTGCCCTGCAATTTGCACTTACTGGACACACATGGTATCTGTCATTAATTAATCAGGTTGTAGGTAATCCCATTACTCTGTTACCAAGAATCTGTTTGTTGGGCCTGGTGGAAGATTTGGTCCCTACGGTGGCAAAGAGGACGTTGATAGGACATCTCTTATTTTATGCCAGAAAAGCTATCATGTTATCTTGGAAAAAGCATACACCACCTTTCTTTCCTTCTGGAAACAGCAGGTTAATGCCACATTACCGTTAAATCAAGATACTTACCTTCATAGAGGGTGCTCAAAAAAATATAAGATCTGCTCCAAATGGTTAGTGGAACCCTCCCCAGCTTCCAATGTGTAAGCAGGGACGGACTGACCATTTGGAAACTCGGGCACTGTCCGAGGGCCGGGGTCAGTAGGGGGCCCCATGAGATGCCCCTGGTACCTTTTTCATAGGCTTTTTTTAGTTTGGGCAAAAACACAGGGGCCCCATGATCCCCTATTGCCCAGGGGCCCCATGAGTTGTCAGTCCACCCCTGTGTGTAATTGTTTAAGAAGGACCCCTGGTAATTATTTCTGATAGTCTTATCTGTTATACTAGGTGAGCACTAGATGCCTGGGGTTTTTTTTAGTTGTGTGATGAGATGACATGCTTAACATTCCTTTTCCATACACGAGACATGCCTGTACTGTGCTGTTTATTGTTCACTCAGGGCAGTCCCACAGCTTCTTATAGTTGCTAGTTTACTTACATGATGCCCCTGCGTGGGCTAAGTGCCTGAACACGTTTGTGTTGATGTGGTATGTCTTCTTGTATTTCTTTGAAACACCAATAAAAAGATGTTTTAAACCGCTTGCCCACCAATCTATAGTAAAACTACTGCTACAGGGCGACAGTGCTACGCAAACTCACGTATACAGCATATATATGTGATTTGCATTCCCAGGTAAGGGGTGCGCACGTGCCATTGGCGGATAGGGATGTCAATCACCTGGTCCTGGCCAGAGATTCCTCGCCGTCACCCAGCAATCGCCGTGTAAAGCTGACAGGGGAGAGACCTGTGTGTAAACACCACAGGTCTCTCTCTCCTGCCAGCAAGGACATGCTGCTTTGTATTTCTCTGCACAGCAGAGAAATAGAAAGCAGCATGTCTCCATAGTAAAACAGCACACATAGTAAAACACACACAGCATACAGTTAACCCTTTGATGGCCCAAAAGTTAACCCCTTCCTGCCCAGTGTCATTAGTACAGTCTCAGGGCTTTTTATTAGCACTGATCACTGTATTAGTGTCACCGGGGATGTCAGTGCAGTTAGTCAGTTCCCACCCAGTGACAGAATGCCTGTGGCAGTCCCACTGTAAGTCGCTGATCGCCGCCATTACTATTATAAAAAAAATAAAAATAAAAATTCCAGTATATATACCGCCATTTGTAGACGCTATAACTGTCACATAAACCAATTAATTTACATGTATTGGGATTTTTTTTTAGCAAAGACATGTAGCAAAATAAATTTTGGCCTAAATTTATGATGAAATTTGATTTTTTTTTCATTTTTTTTTATTGGATATGTTTTATAGCAAAAAGTCAAAAATATTGTTTTTTTTTCTCAAAATTGTCAGTCCTTTTTTGTTTATATCGCAAAAAATAAAAACTGCAGAGGTGATGAAATACCACCAACAGAAAGCTCTATTTGTGGAGCAAAAGGACATAAATTTAATTTATGTGCAGTGTTGCATGACCGTGCAATTGTCAGTTAAAGTAACGCAAAAAATGGCCTGGTCAGGAAGGGGGGTAAATCCTCAGAAAGCATTGCATGTCCCGTTGCAGATCCCTAAGGAAAGGTATGGTCCAAAGGCCTGGGACAAGAATACTACTTTCTCCCTCTCCAAGGACTTTTGTCTGTTCTTTAATGTGCAGCTTTGTGATTCCTAGAACCCAGTTCTAACCCAATAATCAAGCATGTTTTTTCTTTTAAGCTTATTGCACTAGGGCTGCATGATGATGCAAGCCACATGGAATACCTTTACTTATCAAAACACACTTACATTGATGTCTGTTAATTGGAGAAATGTGGAGCCACAGGTAATAACCGATTCCTTCCCCAATTTAGTGCAACCACAGCCAGGCACACCTCATTTCTTCTCTCTCTCTCTCTCTCTCTGGCTCAATAACAGTCTAGGGATTGTCTTTTTATGCTTTTAATGCAGATTAACTTGGATGGGGGTGAGGGAAACATGGGATAACCCAAGAACACTGAACAGCCGGAGGACACTCTACTACTGCACAGTTTCTGAGCATAGGAACAGAACCAGTGGCTGTAATTAAATTTTCAGAAAGCCCATTGCAGAACAAGGAATTACTAATGTCTTCTGAAGGGAAAGGGACTAGAACACAGTCACTAGGGCTCTGAACGCAAGTCAGTACTCACAATGCCACAG